GTGTGTGTGTGTGTGTGTGTGTGTGTGTGTGTGTGTGTGTGTGTGTGTGTTGGGGCTGCAAGCGGTTTAGCATTGCCCCAAGGCTGCTCATAATCTACCCAGTCCCACCACTCCCCAGGGGCTGCACTTTCATGCGGGTTGCCATTACTGTAGTGAAACCCCCCTTTAGGGGATTACAGTGCTGTCTCTTGCTCAAGGCAGTGAGTTGATCCATCGTCTGCTGACTGTATTTAAGCACTCACTTAATGTGCTAATAGTGTTAGACTGGGGAAACGCTGCAAAGGTTTTAACTTTCATCTCTTAAAGCTCTTTGTCTGTAGAAATTGCTGATTTCATGGCTGCTGGTCTTAAATCCATTTGTATTCAGTCACAATCGCAAAATATTAAGTGAGGTTCTGGATGTAGATATGATGTTATAACAAGGTTTTTTTAAAAATCAAAGACACTGATGGGATTGTTTCACTATTATTTTGGATGTACTGTGAGTATGTGATTCCAACAGTTGAGTGCACGACAGCTTTCTACTCAGGCACCGGGCTTTTATGTGTGCATGTTTTCATGTGTGTGTGTGAATGTGAGCAGTCACTGGGCCACTGTCACTGGATCTTGAATCTCCACCAGGCAGTGGGATGGACTGTTTCTCTTCACATTCTGGGGGTCACCAAGCATGATTGGGGGTGGAGTGGGAGTACATTATCTTCCCTTTTCAGAGTTCCTGGGTTTCCTGTGTGTGTGTGTGTGTGTGTGTGTGTGTGTGCGTGTGTGTGTGTGTGAGAGAGAGAGAGAGAGAGAGCGAGTGAGTATCTGCACGAATGAGGTTGTGTTCTCCATAGGCTGCTCTTTGGTTGCTAAGCAACCCTGTGTCTGCACAGTGGAGTGGGGGTGGAAGGGGAGAGCAGCACCAGGTCAACAGAGACAGACACTCACAAGCATTGCAGTGTCTGATTGGACACATCAGTGCTCCTGATGAATGGTTCTGATCATTATCATGTTGACTGGCTGTAGGCCTGAATAGTGTTGGGGTCTCAAAGCCCACCTGAGACAAGATAAATGTGGACCGACTTACGGCTTTTTTATACCTGCTTGGGATGACTTGGTTTTGTTTATCACTATTGACAAATGTAAATTATTTTTTCAATTTTCAATTTTCAATTTCAATTTAATGAGTCACCCATGATTCAACACATCAGCTGGAAACCATCTATTTCATTTTGGCTGTTTTTTGTTGTTTATCACTTACTCTCCATCAAGTTATCCATCTCAGAAAACCCAGATCCCAGCAATCTGGACAGCTCTGCATGCATTCCTCAATAGGACAGGATTTCCTTGTATGCTGAGATGTTCTGGAAGACCAAATGAAGATTCTCGACCAGTGTCCCAGCCATCTCTGCTGAGGGAGATGATGCTAGGACACAATACAGCTCACAGATTCACTCCAGGGCGAATGAGTGCATGAGAAGTTGGGAATGGAGGGTCGTCACGCTCCACTGTCACCAAGGTAACAGGACTGGTCCAAGACCAAGCCTTCATGGCTGAATGGCACGGTCGCTACGGGAGATAGATTTGAGGCTGCTTTCACACAGGCCCAGGGTCAGACATTGCACGTTAACAAGGACAGAATGAACTGAATTTACTGTACCTGAACAAACCTGGCACATGCAGGGGTGATGATGGTGATTATCGTATTATGGTGATTATTATGGTGATGAGGATTTTAAAGTGTGACAGTGAGGAGAGTTACTGAGGGGGTCTGGCTGATAATGTGAGTTTTTATGTGTGCTTGTCTTTCTGTGGTCTGTAACTGTCTTGTTTGACTAAAATTTTAATCTTTCTAGCATAAAGATTGAGTGTTTAGATCATAGAAATACACGTGAAATGGATTTTTAAACTGAGCGTAATCTCTAGTAAACTGTTGATCACCTAATGTATTTGTTTTTCTCTGATGTGCAAACAGGTATGGGAGCATTTTCATCTTTAATAATAGAAATTAAAAAAATTTAAAATTTAAGACTTCCTAAAGGGTTGTTTCACCCAAATATAAAAAAAAACAAAAACGTGGTGACCAGGGATGCAAATTATCTCTCTTCTTTGCCCAGGTTTAGAGATTGAGTTTTGTCATACCCAAATACAAAAGGGTAGGCCTGCATTGACTTTTATTCGTGGCCAACCCCACCACCACCACCACCACCACCACCACCCAGTTTTGGTCTATGGAGCTTTTTAACCAGATTTTGCTCGTTATTATTATTTTTCAGTCCAAACATTTACCGTTCGGTTCAGTGTCTCATCAACCCCAGGCATCTGTTTTCAGCAGGCAAGCTGTGAGTACGAAATGCAGACAGACTAACTATGCTCTAGAGAAGAAAGTTGAACACCTTAGAAGCTAAAAGTATATATTTTTTTCTCATGCATTCGTCAGCCAGAGAGAAAAGGTCAGTGGACATTAGACTTACAGCCGTATCCATAATTCGACCATAATGGTTTGCTAACACGTTAGCCACAGCAATGCTAAACAGCTAAAATATCTCGCGACTTTTTTTAGGGCATTTTCCGTTGTTTTTCTGCACCCTAATGGCCGAAAACTGGTTAAAGCAGGTGTTTATTTAGCTTGTAGTTATTTGTGTTCGTTTATGTTTTACAAACTGCCACTGAATTGCTCTCTGTGGTTTGAATATTTCTAACAGGGCTGGCTAAATGCTAATCAGTCGTGTCACAGCAGATGTTTTCCATTAAGGGAACCGTTTCATTTTTTCATTCCCATTTTTCCTAAACTACCAAGAGATGGAAATACTCTAAGGAATGTAGGACCAGACCTGTTTTGTGAGGCATTTTAATATTCTATGTTGTGTAATTATGGCTCCTTCTTTTGTGATAGATTATGATACTGGATGTAGATAATTATTTCTTATTCATTTGTGTCAGAAGATAGTGGAAATGTCATCACAAGTTCTGAGAGCCCAGTGTGAGGTCTTCAAATTGCTTGTTTTTATCAGAGCAGCTGTAAAAAACCCAAAGATATTCAAATGAACATGATATAACACAGAAAAACAAGCGAATGGTCATGTTTGAGAGGGTGAATCCAGCTATAATTGGCATTTATGCTTGATTAATTACTTAAACAATTCATTACAATAATGATTGATAATTAGTTTTTTTTTCCCTTGTCGACTAACTAACTTAACAGTAAAAACATTTGTGGTATTTCTCACCTCTCCCTCTGTGCTTTGAATGGCTTTATACTTTGGGTCAGATCTTACACTGATGGGACCTTCAGCAAGAGCTAAACACCAAACCTAATGGGCTTAGAGATTTAACTGGAGGGGGATTTTGGTGGCATATGGTTGAGGTGAACATGTGGAGATAGGTAGAACAGGAGCTATATATGGGAAACAGTGGGTGGGCTTAGGGGAGCTTTGTGGTGGATGTTAGGCTGGCGGGGGGCAGTTAGAAGGGCAGATATGGCAGTGGTGTGTGGAGCATTGCCCATCATTGGTAAGTAGTGGGTGGGGGAGGGGGATGCTGGCAGTCTTGGAATAAGTCAGATAAACAGCTCTTCTTGTTCCCTGCTGTGGGGGTGTGGGGGGTGGGGGTTAAAGCCTGGTGGCAGACAGCCAGCACCAGTGATGGCACCAACTGTCACTGGCAGCCCCTCACTCTCTCTGCTGCCATGCTGACTGAAGCCTCTGTGTGTGTGTTGGTGGGTGAATTGAAGTGTTTCTCTCTCAGTCAGTGGTCATTCCTGGTCCCTTCTAGTAGGGCTGGGCAAGAGGGGTACTTGAAATATTTGTCTCAGTATTATAATAAGGGAATTTTCTGTTATTGATATGTATCACAATATGGCGACATAATGAAATATCACATATTAACCAGTCAGACTGATATGCAAAACAGGGGTAAATGGATCATTACCTTAAGTGTTAATACTAATGTTACTCAATCTTATTTTGAGCATGAATAGCCTATTATCATGATTGGAGAAATGATTAATCGATTGGTTGATTAACAGTAAAGTAATTTGCAACTTTAAAAATTAAGTCACAAGCAAATTTTACAGATTCCAACTCCTTAGTCATCTATGAAAGTAAATAGTGACGTTTTGGTTCAGACAAAACAAGCAATTTTGACGTCAGCTTGGCTATTGTAAAATTGTAATAGATATTTTTTTACCATTAAATCTGTCTTGTGGTTTAACTTGCATATATATATATATATAGAAAGAGAGAGAGTTAGATGAGAGGATCAATACCACTTTCATGTCTTTCTGTTAAATATGAAGCTGGAGCCAGAAGACAGATATCTTATGTTGAGACTGGAAAGCTAGCTGTTTTCCTCTGATTTTTAATCTTTATGCTAAGCGAGCTTACTGACTGCTGGTGGTAGCTTCATATTTAACACACATTTATGAGGGGGATGATACTGCTCTAAGTTGATAAAGAGTAACTGAATTACTAGCCAGCTTTACCTTTTATGCAGACTGTGTATGAAAGTCTGTGTGTGTGTGTGTGTGTGTGTGTGTGTGTGTGTGTGTGTGTGTGTGTGTGTGTGTGTGTGTGTGTAAGTGGTGTATTAGTTGTCTCTGTGTTAATTGAATTATGTCTCTAGGTGAATCCTCTAGTAGTCACTGCACTGTGGTTCATATTCAGCACTCAGTCAAGTGAAACAGTCCCATTCCTCTCTCCTGCTCTCTCTGCTCTCTCTTCCATTAATCACAACCTTATAAGATACTCAGCCACTTCCGCTCTGTCACCCACTCCTCTATCCCTCTCTGTTTCTTTATCATATTTAATCACCTGCAGTCAGTGGTCAGGCAGATATCAGCTCTGTGATGATTGGCTGCACCATGGAATGGGCGGGGCTTGCTCTGATGCATCACACACACGTACCAGCGCAGCAGGACAGATCCCCTCTCTCACTCTCCCTCCCCCTCTCTCTACCTCTCACTCTGCCTTTCATACATACGCCAGAGCGCAGACTGCAGCAGAACGGAGGGCCAGTAGGATTTTCCTCCTCGCACTGGATCAACCAAGAAACCAGAGAGACAGTTATCCGCCGAGGAGGAGAGAGATGTTATTCATGGAGAATCCATTGAGGAGTACCTGACCAACAAGCTGCCGAGTGTGTAGGTGAGTGTGTGTTTGTGTCACTGTATCTGTGTGTCCATGCGTGCGAGTTCACTGCAGAAGCAGCAGCACTGCAGATACACCGACCAGAGGCTCTGCTCATCCCTCTCTCCCCTCCCCCCACTCTCCTCCTCCTCATCTCCTCTTCTTCTCGTGGAACATCCATTAACAAGTAGGGACTTTACCCATTTCTGAGATCACAGGGCAGTTTATGTTGTGTGCGTTTGTGAGAGCGTATAATTGGTCTGGCCACACCTGGACTCAGCAGCTGCAAGGTGGACACAAGGTGCACTTGATTTTTCTTGCCGCATGAGTAATGTGTGGTCTTGTGAAGCACAAATCAAGCTCACCCCTGGTAGTTTTTAAACTGTTTTCAAATGATCCTCCTCCTGCAGGGTTGCATCTGGCTCTCAGAAGCAGTTGTGTGGACTCCTACACGCACCCATCCCTCCTCCTGGACAGGCCCACCCCCTTCCTACCTGCCCCTCATCCTCATTTAAGGATAGGATGCCTGGCTCTGTGCCCCTGTGCTGAGGAGGCGTCGGTGGGCAGCAGTATGGGCCCTGTGCCTGCCAGCATCCCCACAACCCCCTCCACCACCGATCTGCCACCACCACGCTGCCCCACCGAGACGGGCGCTCCCCCCAGCCCCGCTGATGGGCGAAGACACTGACGCCACCCCAACGCTCAACCACCGCGGCTTCCTCCCCGACCACAACTATGTGACTGAAGGTAAGAAGATGACAGAGGAAAATGTGTGTGTCTATATGTGACGTGTGTGTTTGAGAGTGCCCCCATGTGAGTGTGCATTTGTGTATCGGACTTTTGGAGAGTGTGTTTGTGTGTGTGTGTGTGTGTGTGTGTGTGTGTGTGTGTGTCTGTGTGTGTGTGTGTGTGTGTGTGCATGCTTGTCTGTCAGACAAAACAAGCTCTGGACGGCTTCCTAAGCTTCTATAAGCTCTGTGTTGATCAGTGTTCAGACAGAGTTGTTGACAGAGCAACATGAAGTAGGGAGCAAAACACTCCTCTGTGCAAATTAAAACATCTTTGGCACGTTTCCCTCTCCTCCTCTCCTCCTCTCCTCCTCTCCTCCTCTCCCCCATCCTTTCATACTATTTTCTCAATTATATGAATGCTTTACCTTTGATTTCTGTTTTTTTGTTTGTTTGTGCTTTTATAACCACTTTTTTACCTTGTGCAACACAGCTATTTTGTTACACTGCAGGGAAGAATTGATCTGGCCTGTGTCCAAGTGTGTGTCTGTGTGTCTCTGTGTCTCTGTTTGTGTCTGTATGTCAGAGACAGAGTGGGAGAACATTTTTTTCTGTAACAGCAGAAATTTCCAGAAAACCAAGTCGTAATTTCCGCCACATTCTTTCGTACTCATTGCACTGCATGTCATCTCTCACATCATCATAGAGTCACATACAAGCACTCTCTGTTGCTCTCTCTTCTTGAATATAACAGGTGCAGGTGTCAAATTATAGCATATCAGATCTTAGGTAGGGGAATATTAAAACATTCCTTGGGTTTGTTTCATAAAACAGATGGATTATAACCCTGGATAACCCCTCCTTCTGCTAATCTCAATTACACCACTAATCTCACCTGCACACTAGCTTCCCTGTCTGCCTTCCTGCCTGTCTGTCTGTCACCAATCTGTTCCTTACACTCAGCTCACTGTTCACCCTGCCTCTTAGACCAGAACAGCGGATTATCATTTAGGGGTCATGAATGTGTTGCAAGCTCATTTGTGATCCTTGTATCACTGTAGAAAGGGAATTATGTTTCCTGTGTCTGTTCTGTAATATAATTTCACTCACACAGAAGCACATACTGTAGTCAGGGGAGACCTGTAGTGCTGCTGCCTGTTGATTGTGTAAATACTTGTGTGTGCATTCAACACACTGTATTGCTGAGAAGATTGAAGACTGTTTTCTATTTCTGTGTGTTTCTTTGTTTGTCTCTATGTCTGCGAGTGTATGTATGTGAATGTGTGTGTCATTTATACAGTGTTTCCATGAGCAATGTTTGTCTTTGTCTATTTCAGAGAAAAATTTTGATGAGTGAGTGGCAGAAAATCAGACTTAACATCCATCACCAATCATCCATTATTGCCATAGCAACAATTCGTGATGATAAACATGCTGCTTTTCATGCTTGGCCAATATGATTGACAGGTCGTCTCCACCCACCAATAATGGCAGTATTAATTATTCCACACATCTCAGGCAGACACAGACATTATTCAGGGTGAATTGCTGATTAGCTCACACCAAGGTGGACACACCGCTCGACTCTATTGGTCTGAAAGGGCTGCGCAACACATGAACAACCTGAAAAGAGATAGTTGCAGAAGAATAATTCCAAATTGTGCTTTAAAATATCACAAGAATTCCCCTAATCACAAACAAAGGTCATTTTCTGTCACAAATAAACAAAATGATTCATTACCTGCCTCTTGTTCTACATCCACTCCAACCCCCTCCACCTTTCCTCCATATTCACCCCATCCCCCGTCCTCCTCCCCATTTCCATCCCCCATTGCCTTCCCCTCCCTCCCTCCCCCCCTCCTGCTCTTTCCCCCTTCAGTCCTCTAATGCAACTCCCAGCATTGCCCGGTGCTGAAGTGGCACATCTGCCAAACTATTATCCAACAGTGCTCTAAAGGCTGCTCAAACACAATGTGCCTATTTATGTGTGTGTTAAAGAGAAATACAGAGGGTGGTGGAGACAGAGGTGGTGCATGTAATTTTATGCTTGGTGTATTTTGTTATCTCCTGTGTGTCTCCATCTTTCTTTATTTTTTTGCCTGTGTTGCATTCATATTCATGTCTGTGTCTCCGAGTGCATAGTGTGTGTCTTTTTGTTGGCTTAGGTCTGTGTATGTGTATGTATATGTATGGGTGTGTGTCTGAAAGTGTTTAGTGTGTGAGTGTATGTGTGTGTGCGCATACATAACAGTGTGTCTGTAGCTCTTCCCGTGGGGATTCCCCTGGCCTTTAACTCCTACAGGGGAGGGATGCTTAACCTCCCTCTACCTCACCCTCCCCTCCCTTCTTCCCTCCATGTCTTATTCCCCTCCTCTCCCTCCCTTTGACTTTCTCAATATCTGCCTTTGCTACAACCTCACCTCCCGCTGGAGTAGCATTGGGTTCCAGAATGAATGAGTAAATAACAAAAAATTCAAACTGTTTCCATTTTTGAGGTTTTTGTAAGTTATTTATGAATTATAACATGTCATAAGTAATGCACACACATCAACCCATTATTATTGTGTACCATATAGAGGATTGTCTGCCTGTTAATGCTGTTGAGGGAAATAGGTAAAATGTCTCATTTCAAGGACCAAAAAGAAACAACCTAGTTTTTAGAGTGGTGTGTTTTTGACAGAATCCAGTTGGCTTTGAAACGGTTTTATACATTCTCAGTCTAGTGAGGAGCAAAATTGGAATCACAAGTTCCTGACATAAATATACATCTGAATACAATACTGCAGAGACAGTGGAAAATCCACAAATAGGTCAATCGTATAGGCAAACGCTAAACATGAAAATATAATTTTTCACAGCATATCAGACTTGAACATTTACTTTCATTTCTTTTTCTTTCATGTTATTTTTAACTGAATACCTTAACCTTATCTTTGTACTGTTTAGTATCCTGTAAGGGGCCGTTTTCAATATGTTTCACATGATTAAAGATTCATTTAAAAAATGACAGAATAATGAATAATGGCGGTAATTGTTGGTCACAGCCCTCATACATACCATTATATAATTGTCACTTCTGAGGAAATGTGAGAAAGCTTCTGGCTTTCTTCTCCCTGTGGTGTGCAGTGAGCACAGTTATGATCACCTGCAAAGTGGATTTTCATAAAAGAGGCCTAACAAGACATACTAAGACCATCCCAATAGTTGTTTAAATGTGTTTATCCTCCGTGTCTTGCTAGCCTTCTCACCAGACCCAACATGTGAATATTTCATGTTACATAATAGATACAGTATGATCATGAATACACCACCTGTAGATTTTCATTGGTGAGTACTCATGGCCGATTGTGGTGATGTAGTAACTCAGTCCCTACCCTTAACCCTAACCCCTACCCTGCCCTGCCCGGTCCTGCTTACTTCCTCACCGTCTGCCTCCCTGTTGCTCTCCTCCCTCCCTTCCCTTCCCTTCCCTTCCCTCCATCCTTGCTCCTCTTGCAGGGCTGCTCCTGGCTATAGCCTGAAGAGCTCCGCCCATCCTGTCCACCCCTCTCCACCCTGGAGTCCTCCCCCAGGATGTTGAGCCCCATCCAGGTCCTGTGCTCCGACATCACTACCCTTTCTCTGGAGCCTGAGCCGTTTGCCTCTTACACTGAAGGTGTGTGCTCTATCCTGTTCTATCCAGAAGGTCATATCTATTTCACACAGTTGCGCCACATGACCCTAGTGTTAGATATGAGAGTTCACGTGTGTATATGTGTGTTCGGCGGAGTATGGATGTGATTAAGTGGATTTGTGTGTGTTTGTGTGTGTGTGTGTGTGTGTGTGTGTGTGTGTGTGTGTGTGTGTGTGTGTGTGTGTGGTGGGTGTGTGTGTGTGTGTGTGAGAGTAATTTGAATCAGGTGAATTCTTACTTGGGTCTGAATGTTGTAAATATCTTAAACATCTCTTTGTCTCTGTCTGTCTGCCTCATCCTTTTTGTGTGTCTCTATTTTTGTACCTGCCACTTTATTTTTGTCTCAGTCTTCCTGCTTCAGTGTGTGTGTGTGTGTGTGTGTGTGAGATTGATCTCTCTAAATAGTTTGACCAGACAACACCCCATTTCTTTTAAAGCGTAGCTATCTTACATCTATTTTTATTTAATACGAAGCAAGACACACATAGACATTCACATGCATATGAACATGCACAGACACACTTTCTAAACTCTCTCTCTCTAAACGCTGTACCATGTGGGCTGTGTATGCATCCATTATTGCAGGCATCCATTATTTCCTCAATTTATTAATTAATCATGTGGTCTATAAAATGTCTGATAATAGGGGAAAATGCTTGTCGCAGTCTCCCAGAGGCTTCAAATTGCTTGTTTTGTCTGAGAAACAGTCCTAAATCGAAGGGTATTTTGTTTGGTTTTGTAAAAGACTGGAGAAACCAGCACATGAGACGGTGGAACCAGTGAATTTTCTGCAGTTTTGCCCAAGAAAATACTTCAATATTAATTGATTATCAAAAGCATTGCAGATTAATTTTCTTTTGATTGACCAATTGACTCATCGTTTCGACTATAAACACATGCAGACAGAGATAAGAAGGACAGCATAAAAAAGGGCAAGAGTTTTCTGAATATAGGATTACATTTCAGTATTTATGAGACATCGACACATAATCTGAGTTTAGATTGGGTGTGAACCAGCTAAACTCCTAATCTTTTTTTATGTTACAGTCTCACAAATCTGTTGGAAAAAGAAATAGATTTTTATCAAAAATGAATCACACATTGCAGCTCTGAGTATTCTGGCAGTCAGAAGATGATTTTGCAGTTAGGTAAAGAAGGATTACAGGGGTATTTCACACATGCTGAAGCCGGCTTGGTTTGTGTTTCTAATTGTTTGTGTCTATAACCATTAGGCTCACACCAGCTCTTACCCATTGTGGCAATGTGTGTTTGGAGAAATGGCAGACTCCCTGCTGTGCTGGGCTTAAATCACTTCTCTTCACACATGTGCACCTCTAACACAAACA